ATATTTTTAATTTTAAAAAACATGAATTATATTTTATTTTTTTAATATATTTTTTCTTGAAATCGACGATCCATTTTAACTCAACGGATCGGCGCTTATCCGTGCTCTGATCTGACCCGGAGCCTGATTTCAGCTGTTGTATCTTCTGGGGCTGCAGGTCTCTACTAGAATGCATGCCCTGCTGAGTTGAAATTGTTAGCGACAGGTTTGTCCCTATGGTAATTGATATCGGCAAGGTGTTCTTTGAATCGGACACAGAAGGGACTTTTTGTTTTCCCTAGATTGTTGCTTCCCACAGTTGGAGCCGTAGATGAGGTTTCTACTTTTGCACCTAAAGTGTGTGGGGCATTTGTATTCCTTGCCTGTCGTTGGAGTGAGTGAGTATGGTTTTACGCCGCTTTTAGCAATATTCCAGCAATATCACGGAGGGGGACACCACAAATGGGCTTCACACATTGTACCCATGTCGGGAATCGAACCCGGGTCTTCTGCGTGACGAGCGAACGCTTTAACCACTAGGCTATCCGACCGCCCCGCCTGTCGTTGGAACTTGAAGAGTTTCTTGTCTTGATACTTATGCCGATTTTTCAGGCTTGTTTTGACAATTCTCTCCAGGTTAGTGACAGGTCGGCCACTGATCTGTGGTTTAAGTGGTGGGTATGTGACGCCGCCTTCATGAGGATATCTCTCAGTGTGCGGTTCTTCCTGTATGCTGTGATGTGTGCGACTCGGAACGTTTTTGTGCAGGCATCGGGCCTGAGTTGATGCCAAGAGGTTTTTTGTATCCCCCGCCACAAAGTGTTGACAAATGTTCTCAAAAACTATTCATATTGGAGAAATGAAAGGATGTTACTGGTCATGATCTCAAATGAGTTCGAAAATTGGTGTCGTACATTCATTGTTTGCAGAGTTATGGCCCTTGCTCCATCCTTTTCAACTGTGTGCACAGTGACTGCAATGGGGATAACTCTTTTCAAAAACTTACATTAATGACACTTTGCAAGCTTATCTAATAGATACTTGTCAAGACTGTTCGAAAATTGGTCCCGTCAAATATTCTTTTACAGAGTTATGGCCCCTGCTTCGTGTTTTTCAACATTGTGCATACTGTGTGAAATGGGGACAACCTTTCTCACAAACTACTGACGTTACATGAAATAAACTTTGCAAGCTTATCTACGAGATACTTGTCAAGACTGAGTTCGAACATTGGTACCATAAATTATTTGTTAACAGAGTTATGGCCCTTGATCCATGGTATTTTGCTTGGTGCATAGTGAGTTCAATGGGGAAAAGTTTTCACAGAACTACAGAAGCGAACCTTTTGTAGGCTTTACACAATTTACCCATGTGGGGAATCGAACCAGGAGTTTCGGCGTGACGAGCTAACGCTTTAACCACTGGGCTACCTGACCGCCCCCGGATGGCAAGATGTATATAGCAGATATGAGTGTGTATTTGTAGCCTTGCCCTACAGGTCGAATTCCAGTTTGCGTGTGTTCTGGTTATAAATTACCTGTTTGTCTAAGAAAGCTTCATTATCTCTTGAAAATTCAGCTTGTGTGTAATTTATTGATTTCTTTGACGTAAAGGTTTTGTCAGTGGTTCTGACCACTTTTTTACTTTTACGTTTTACTTTTAATTCTCCCATGAATATGTTTGCTTAAGAGGGGGTGGTTTTGTCCCAAAAGCTTTGTCGCCTATTTGTACATAATGTCCATTATTAAAAACAAAGTTGTTTCACGTTGGACAAGTTATAGTAGGGAAAATATACTTGTGGGGCTGATGGACCAGTTTGGTTTGAAACGTTTAATTGCCTGGGTTACTGATTTGAGGCCTTCCGTATTAGGTATGTTAGTGTCTAGGGGCCCATAGTGACAAGGATGAAATTTGATATTTTCTTGTGTCTGAATGATGTGAGTAGTGTCTCTGATACCGTAAATCTTGAAATTAACGCGAGCGTGAATTATACGCGAAAAATGCGAGTGGTCTTTGCTCGCATTAACTAAACTTCCCATTGATGTCTCCAAAATGACTGTCAACAATAAGACGGCCTCAATGCACTCTTTGGATAGGCGATATGGGTCAGCAGTCGTATTAACTTGGAGATGCATTAATTTCAAGATTTACAGTACAAGTGGGATAAGTTTTGATGAACTCCTTTCCTTGTTCATCAGCGAAGCTGCTGATAGGTCAGTGGTGGTGATATTTCCGCTGATGATGGGGCGTCCTGGACAGTTTGCCAGGGATTAGACAAATGTAGATTTTATGCAGGAGATAAAGCTGACCGAGTCTTGGGTCCTCAGGTAAATGTTCATCTAATATTTTGTATGTGATTTCTACTTTTGCGAAGATCTTAGTGAGGAGTTGTGTAACTTCGTTAGCGAAATGTATGGCTGGGTCATGGTTTGTTTTGTGATAGATGTTCTCATCACCTAATTGGCGTTTAGCCTCAGTTATGTAATCCGTGGTGTTTAGAATCACACCTGCTGATCCTTTAACAGACTTTTCATGATGATGTCGGGGACTGGCAATGGCTGTCCTTTGTGCAGGCGAAAGGTTGTTGCGCGTGAACGGAATGGTGTTCATTTTAAGGAACTGTTGTTTTACTCATTTGATAAATGCATCGAGCGCATGGTCTGTACCCGGAGATGGGGTCCAGGTACTTCGTGGACCAAACTTCCGGGCCAGGTGATTGGTGGGATCACTTGTACCTGTTTCATTAGTCTTATGAAAGAAATGAGATAATTCTCATCCTTCTAAGAAAGGCGTTTAGATCAGCGTAAATTTTACTACGATCCGTTTGTAAGGGCGTTGGGCTGTAAATGATGCCCTTGCTGAGAACACTACCTTCTGTCTCATTAAGTCAGAGGCCCGTGAAGATTCGGGGGTAGAATATGTCTTCAGCAACCCATGCTTGCCGTAAAAGGCGACTATGCTTGTCGTAAGAGAGGACTAACGGGATAGGGTGGTCAGGCTCGCTGACTTGGTTGATGCATGTCATCGTATCCAAATCGCATGGATTGATGCTCATGATGTCAATCACTGGATTGTCTGGTTCAGACTCGATTATTTACAGACCGCCGTCATATAGCTGGAATAAACGACAAACAAACAAACATTTAGTTGGTAATCAGACAGATTGGTCACAAACACATGTGAATTTGGTTCAGAATTTTTATTGCAACAATTAGTGTTAAGATTCAGTTTGATTTGTTCTTGGTTAAGGTCAGTGTGTATTGTTCCGCTCACTTTGAGGGCGTTGTCCAGTTGCCCATGGGCTTTTAATAGCTGGATGTTTCCTGACTGGGTTGTATTCCTGTGACGTTTGATGAGGGTCTAGAGCTGTTGTTGTACTGTTGGTAAGAGCGGGAATTTCCTAGCTCTTGACGGCGTGGACTTTTCGTGGGATGCTTGGAGGCTCCATGAATAGCTTCGAGTCATAGGGATTCCTGTCTGTGAACTCTAATCTGAGTTCGCTGAATCTTTTGTCCAGTTTAGTATGCCAATTAGCAGACTCTCGGGTTGAGATCGTGTGGCATGCGGCAAATATGATGTCAAGGGAATGTTTGTCAGCATCCTTTTCGAGTTTATTCTTCTCCAAGGCGGTCGAGTCTCTTGGCTCGCATGTACTGATTTATGTTTGAGATATATGTGTATCTAGGTTTCATGGGACGTGTTTTGAGACTTTCGCTGCTAGTGTTAGCCAACTCAAGACCATCAAACAATCCGTGAAGATCCGGGTTAGAATTTGTCTTCAGCAACCCATGTTTGTCGTAAGAGGCTAACGGGATCGGTTGTCAGGCTCGGTGATTTGTCATCGTATACCATTTGCGTAGATAGATGCTCATGATATCAATCACTGGATTGTCTGGTCCAGACTCGACTATTTACAGACCGTAAATTATATAGCTGGAATATTGTTGAGCGCGGCGATAAACATCAAAGAAACAAATAAACAAACAAAACATGAATTCAAATATGGTGCTGAAAAAAACGAGGAATATAATAATGGCGAACATGGGATTCGAACCCAGCATTAGGGGTTAAGGGACGCAACTGACTTTGGCTTGATGATTTATTTGGTCGTGATTCCCTTATCGTATTTGTACTCAACATAAATATGTGTTATTGCTGAAATAGATGTTATTAGTTATCGAAATAATCTATATGTCTTTAAATACATGTTACAAATCTTGCGTTTGAGTTCGGAATTAATTTCTCTACATAAGTTTAACCAATAATTGTCCTTGAAACATGCAAGTATATGGCCGATGGCGACTTCCCGCTTTGAATCAGTGTCTTCTTGTCTTCCTGTCTTGACAAACTTAATAAGTCAGTCCTCTGAAACTACGGAGTCCACGTGATTGTATAGTATTTCGAATGACCATTGCATTAAATATATGGTCTGGGGTATGTAGGACGAATGACGCTAGACTAGAGCATTGTGATAGTATTTCTGTCTTTGGCTTGTGGAGGACATTTCCAGATTTGACCCATCGGTGACAAATATGATGTCTAATGCCATTCCCTATTTTGACTTCTTGTGTCTTTTTTAGGCGAACAATTGACTTGCGTTTGCATGTGTTTATGACGGTTGCCACTGATGGGCAGGATGGGCTCGCCTGTTAGCGAACACCTGACACGATCACTATTTGACAGATTCATAAACACATTAAGATTCAGATTCAGATTCAGATATACATGTAGTCGGAATCGTACAATAGACATTTTTCTTATGTTTCATCGTAACACTGCCATGTCGTGTCGTGTCGTGTCATGTTAGGGGCGGTCGGATAGCCTAGTGGTTAAAGCGTTCGCTCGTCACGCCAAAGATCCGGTTTCGATTCCCGACCTGGGTACAATGTGTGAAGCCCATTTCTGGTGTCCCCCGCCGAGATATTGCTGGAATATTGCTAAAAGCGGCGTAAAACCATACTCCTCACTCACTTTGTTATGTTATTTTACGTCATGTCATGTCATGTCGTTTCATGTTTCAGGCACCACTGCAACGGTAGGAAACGCCCTTGTCATTCTCACGTTATGCCGGAACCGGAAGTTGCGCAGAAAACCTCACAACCAACTGCTTTTCAACCTGGCAATATCCGACATTGGGATTTCTATTTTTGGATACCCTTTGACAACCGCCTCTAGTTTCGCAGGTCGCTATTTGTTTGGTCGTGTGGGATGTCTTATACAGGGGTTCACCTGCTTCACCTTGGCACAGGCCAACATCAATACACTGGCATTCCTCAGTGTCTATCGCTATGTGTCAGTGTGCTATCCAGAACACAGTAGGTACTTTTATTACATTTGTGTGAGAGTCAGTACACAGCTGACTTTAGAATACCTTGACCAGCATACTGCAGAGATATAGCATGAATTCACTTAAACCGTGTTAATTGACGGCCGTTTTTGACAGGTCACTCGGGTCCACTCGGCTCTTTACGCTACCTTCGCCATACACCAGAACTACGAAACCCTTTTGATGCCACTTTGGTAGCAGCAATACTTTTTTAAATCGTAATTTCTCGTTATTTCAATTATTTTCTCGAAATTTCTAGTTCTTTCTCGTTACTTCGATTATTTTCTCCTTATTTCAATTATTTTCTCGAAATAACGAGTTTTTTCTCGTTACTTCGAATATTTTCTCGTTATAACAAGTTTCTCTAAAAAACCTCGAATTTTTTCCCGCTTCTTCGATTTTTTTCTCGTTACTTCTTTTTTCTTCTCATAATTACGATTACTTTCTCGTTATTTCATATTTATCACAAGTAACGAGAAAATTCGTAATCTCGAGAAAATGATTGCAATAACGAGAACAAAATCGAAATTTCGAGTTTTTGAAATAAAGTTATAATAACGTGAAACAAGTCGAAATTACGAGAAAATAATCGAAGTAACGAGAAAATAATTAAAATAATGAGAGAAAAATCGAGATTTCGATTTCTTTTTTTAAATCAAGATGAAATGACGAAAAAAATATCGAAATTACGAGAAAAGAATCTAAGTAACGAGAAAATTATTGAAAAAATGAGCAAATAATGGAAGTAACGAGAAAATAATCGAATTTTCGAGTTTTTAAATAAACTTGAAATAACAAGACAACAATCGAAATTGTCTGCAACTGTGCATGGAATTTAACTGACAACCGACTGACCGTCATGTTTACAAACAAATGATGATTGTTTGTGACGCCGAACTCTCTTTCTCCAGCTAAACTATTTTCTTTGTCATTTGGAATTTTTATTTTGTTTCACACATCATATAATTGGTATAGAACGTAAAGGGACATGGAGGCTTTTCCGTAGTCAACAATCGAGAATTATCTGGGAAATTGCAAGTCAGTTGTAAACGTTTTCCCAATTCACTGTAATGTATTTTGACAGGTTATTTTATTTCTGATTAACGCCACAGTCAGCAATATTCCAGTTATATGAAGTCTGGACCAGACAATCCAGTGATTGACATCATGAGCATCGATCTACGAAATTGGGATACAATGATATGCATCAACCAAGTCAGCGAGCCCGACCACCCTAACCCTGATTTCGTTCTGATAACACTTCAACGACCAGTTTGTTTGTTTGTTTATTTATTGTTTAACGCCGCACTCAGAATTCTTCCAGCTATATGACGTCGGTCTGTAAAAAATAAAGTCTGGACCAGACAATCCAGTGATTAAAATCATGAGCATCGATCAACGCAATTGGGATACGATGACAAACATCAACCAAGTCAGCGAGCCTGACCACCCGACCCTGTTAATCGCCACTTAAGACAAGCATGGGTTGCCGAAGATCAATTCTAACCCGGATTTTCCCTGGTACAAATATAGTCGGTTGCATTCTTGAACCAGTATATTACTTGACATATAATACACGTTGTTAAGGTCCACCATGAGGGGCATGGATTGTCTGTTGTCTGTAGCTCCACAATTGGCTGTGTGTATCTAGAGTTGTGGCCCAGACATCGTGGCTTCGAATCCCAAATATATCATGAGGGCCACGATCACTGAGTCACTGGCCAAAGACGATCAATAGTATTGTGAGTGAGTGAGTGAGTGAGGGAGTGAGGGAGTGAGGGAGGGAGGGAGGGAGTGAGTGAGTGAAGTCTACCGCTGGTGTTAACAGTATTCAGTCCGGGCACAGTGTGTCTGCTTCACAAGAAAATCCCGAAGCTATGTCGGCTATTCAGTAGAGAGTATAGATAATAGCGGAGTCTTTCACGTTATATTACGTCGGCAGTCAATAGCAGCAAGTTTCGTTGAAAGTAGACAAAATAAAATAAAATAAAATATAAATATATAAGTATGAAAGCATGATATCTAAAGGAGAATATATTATACAATAATATGTAAATATAAACATATATGTCAAAATCCGATAAATGTCTTTACTTTACTCCACAACAGGATACGGAGAAAAGGAAACAGACTCTAATGTCATAGTATAAAGTCATTGTCGACCAAGTAGGATTCTACCATGTATGAAGAATGCAGGATTGTGATTGGTTAAAATAACATTAAAATCGCATATTTTATTCCATCAGGTTCCTCAAAATTAACGAGCCTTTTCAACCAAAAACTCGCGTGTGAATACATCGATCTGTAGATAGCCTACGTATCGATTCATATATAATGCTTGCCTATAACTCCTACTGTAGACGTCCGATATCGTCGACCCGTGAAGATCCGGGGTAGACTAGGTATTCAGCAACGCATCCTAGCCGACAAAAGCGACAATGCTTGTCGTAAGAGGCGACTAACGGGATAGGGTTAGGCTCGCTGACTTGGTTGATGCATGTCATCGATCCCAATTGCGAGGATCGATGCTCATGATATCAATCACTGGATTGTATGGTGCAGACTCGATTATTTACAGACCGCTGTCACATAGCTGGAATATTGCAGACAACAGACCAACCAACCTACCGATATCGTCACATTATCAAATGTTTTTGTCACTCACTAACACTACACAACGCTTGTCACAACAACTTATCAAACACGATCAAATCTGTTTCAGAACACATACGCCTAATTGAAAGTGTGAAGCCCTTTTTCCGGTGTCCCCCGACGTGATATTGCTGGCATATTGCTGAAAGCGGCGTAAAACCATACTCACTCACTAAATGAAACATTCACTAACCACTGTGTCACAAACACGAGCAGTCTCTCATGCTGCGCAGGGTCAGCTCATCTTCAGCTCCAATGGTCGGTGATGTTTGTCACGTGTGTCACTACTTGTGACTCCTTTTCGGAATGTTCTAAGATGTCTGACCTCTTGACCCATGTGTACTGACGCCTTCCAAAAGAGTATCGATTTTAAAGTGAACTTGTCATCAAGATAAAATGGAGATAAACCTACTGCGTTTTGGAATTTGAGAAGTGCAAAACTAAAACAATAGGTATCTAATCTTTATTAGGTGTATCTCCTTTCTCCACTGACAAGAACGCATTAACGCGGCACTCTTTTGGAAGGCGTGAGTGACATATGTCAAATTAGGATTTCACGTGTTTCAGCATTGTGACGTCATGCAGATATTGCTTTAGTACTGTATAATGACGTCACACTAGATGGTGACGTCACAGTTTTCATTATCTACGCCAAGTTGATACTTTAATCCGCTCAACATTGTCTCCTCATTGAAATTTAAAACGTCAACACGAGATAATTATCAGTCTAGATTATCTGCTGAAATAGATTCCACTGGACGTAAATGACAATTTAGCGGAGCAAATTAGATAAATGGATCACTGAAAATCAGTGATGACACCAGGTGTTCGCGTAAAAGGTAAGTATGTCCCGCCCTACCGGATGCAACTGCTACTCACACAATTTGCATAAAGAGTAAGTGTTTGATTGTTGCTTGACACCGTACAAAACACTTTTTCACTATAGTTAATTCTACTGTTATGCAACATGAGAGAAATTCGTGTTATTACAGTTGTGACCAAATTCACATTATATGTTGTCTGTTGCAGGTTACTATTTAAACTTTGTTACCAGAAAAGTAATCGTGTGTTTGTGGGTGTACGCACTCATGTGGACGTTACCGCCGTTGATGGGGTGGAGTTCCTACACCTTTGAGCCTTTCGGTACCTCCTGCAGTGTGGACTGGGCTAGCAAAGACAAGGGATCCATAGCGTACACCTGGTGCCTCATAGTGTACTGCTACACCATACACATTGTGTTGATGGCCTTCTGTTACTACAAGATTGTGAAGAAAGCCTGGTCAGTGCGCGTCAACTTGACCACTACTGTCATAGCAGGACTCAGGCTTAGTGAAGGAGCGTTTCTTCATAAGATGAGGAGGGAGAGAAGAGTGACAATGGTGAGTACATTGACGGGACTGTTGTTGTAGTAGTAGTAGTAGTAGTAGTAGTAGCAGTAGTAGCGGTAGTAGTAGCAGTAATAGCGGTAGTTGTTGTAGCAGTAGTAGCAGTAGTTGTAGCAGTAGCGGTAGTAGTCGTAGCAGTAGCGGTAGTAGTAGTTGCAGCAGTAGCGGTAGTAGTCGTAGTAGGAGTGGAAAGCGTAGTCATAGTCATAGTCATATTAGTAGTAGTAGTAGAAGCAGTAGTAATAGTCTCTGTACTTGTAGTCGTAGTAGTAGCATTAGAAGTAGTCATAGTAGTAGTAGCAGACGCAGGAGTAAATGTAGTAACAGTAGTAGTTGCCATACTAGTAGTAGTAGTTATAGTAGTAGAAGTAGCAGCAGCACTAGCAGGAGTAGTAGTAGTAGTAGTAGGAATGGTAGTAGTAGTAGTAGTAGTAGTAGTAGTGGTAGAGGTAGTAGTAGTAACATCAACTGTAATAGTAGTAGTAATGGTAGTAATAGTGGTAGTAGTAGAAGCGGCAGTAGGAGTGAAAAGTGTAGTCATAGTCATAGTCATAGTAGTAGTAGCAGTAGCAGCAGTAGTAGTAGTTTCTGTACTTGTAGTCGTAGTGGTAGCAGTAGAAGTAGTCGTAGTAGTAGTAGTAGTAGTAGTAGTAGTAGTAGCAGTAGCAGCAGTATAAGTAGTCTCTTTACTTGTAGTCGTAGTGGTAGCAGTGGAAGGAGTAGTAGTAGTAGTAGTAGTAGTAGTAGTAGCAGTAGCAGCAGTAGTAGTAGTTTCTGTACTTGTAGTCGTAGTGGTAGCAGTAGAAGTAGTCGTAGTAGTAGTAGTAGTAGTAGTAGTAGTAGTAGTAGTAGTAGTAGTAGCAGTAGCAGCAGTATAAGTAGTCTCTTTACTTGTAGTCGTAGTGGTAGCAGTGGAAGGAGTAGTAGTAGTAGTAGTAGTAGTAGTAGTAGTAGTAGTATAATGAACGTATAATGCTAGGTCCATATGTTTATCATTAAACAGAGACAAAACATTTTCCAAAATCATAAAACATCTCTGCGATAGAGTCCATTGTTCGGTTCCGACTGTACCATAAGCATTATATTGATATGTTTACGAATCACTATCAAATAGTGATGATCCACGTGTGCGCGAAGACGTCAGCGTAACCTGCCCCACAGCTTGTACCTAACACAAACACATGCATTTGTTCACCCGAGTAAACAAGGGAGCATGTTGAAAGTGACATCGGTCACCCTTCTTCAAATTTGAAAATGGCCTCCAACAAGCTTTACTTCGGCTTTTACTGACGCTACATAAAACACGGAAAACCTGCATGATGTTATCTTTGTGTGAGCACGCAAAATCTTGGTTCCTTTTGAGACTTGACCATAATCCTAAATCCTCAAAGAGTTCAAACTAAATCAGTGTGAAACACATCCCCCAAACACAACGATATTTTTGCAGAAATTGATACACGTCCACGTCATGTTGGTTTGTAATGCGAAAAGACACGACACATGCACTAAGGAAACTACACATGCAATACGGGTATATATATATTACGGACGGAATGTAAGACACCCACACTGATAAAAACATATATCACAGAAATGCCACGACTGACACACGAACAATGCGAGCGGTCCCTGGGTATGATACAGATGGGAGCCATCCATACCCACATCGCTAGAACTTTTGGTTGCTCCCGTGTTACTGTAACTGACGTGATGCAGCGTTACAGACAGACCGGGCAGACATCAGACAGGCCAAGAACAGGCAGACCCAGGGTAACTACGCCCAATGAAGACCGGCACTTGCGTATTTTGCACTTGCGACATGTTCTCCCATAGGACTTCTGTGGAATGTCATGGATCGTCGTGTTCGAGTGCGACCACATCCACGAGCCAACCGACAAGAACTGATCCCAGCCCTCCAATAAGAATTGTGACGTCATCAGATGACTGATTCTTTCTGTGCACCTGGGAGTTGTTGCGTGTCTTGTAGCAGGTCATACACGCCTTTAATGTGACGTGTCATTGAACTTGGGCGATTTTAGATGTGTGTGCCCTTTGTGCATTACGTTGAAAGTTTGTTTTTTCTACCCCACTTTAATTCGGGCAACTGCCATGCCAATATCGGGTGCTGTATGAATGCCATTTTAATTGTTGATTTCGTTGAGATTTTGATGTTTGCAATACATTTTACTTCAACCATATGGTGTTTAAATTATAGTGATTTAAAACTATGGTCAAGTTTCGTTTGGCGTCAGGGTTATATCACATATGACACCTGTTTCATTTTAAATACTAACATAATGCATTCTTCTTAAACCAAAAACTCCGTTTTGATCATTCTCATTTCAGTAAAGTCCTGCAGAAATAATAGAGATGCATGTATATGATTGATATAAATAGAAACGACAAAACCCTTTTCATATCCACAAGAGATTTCAGCTTAAAGTCCATTGTACGATTCCCTCTGTATCATGAGTATGCGTTTACGAATCACTTTCAAATAGTGATGACACCGTGTGTTCACGAAAATGTGAGCGCATCCTACCTTACCTGTGGCACGCGTCACAAACACATGCAAACGCAAGTCAATTCTTTACCTAACAAAAACACGCACTTTCCTCCCTTCCCTAACCAACCCTATATGTATCTGTTGAACCGAATCTGCAGCGTCACCCCACGTCTTTGTAGTTCTTGGTAGCAATGTTTGTTGTAATAGCAGAAGTAGTGGTAGTAGGGGTAGTTGTAGTTTTAGCTGCGGTATTAGTGACAGCCGGGGTAATTGTGTTGGAGTTGATGATGGCGGTGTGGTACTACTACTAGTAGTAGTGGTAGTAGTAGTAATAGTAGCAGCAGCTGCAATAGTAATAGTAGTACAAGTAGTAGTAGAGGTAGTCGTATTAGTAGTCGTCGTGGTGGTAGTTGTTATACATTGAGTGAGTGAGTATGGTTTTACGCCGCTTTTTAGCAATATTCCATCAATATCAGAAATGGGCTTCACACATTGTACCCATGTCGGGAATCGAACCCGGGTCTTCGGCGTGACGAGCTAACGCTTTAACCACTAGGATACCCGACCGTCCCTATATACATGCAGTGGCAGAAGTAGTAACAGTAGTAGCAGTGCTTGTGGTTGCGGTATCACGATGATGAGATGATATAAACATGTGACTGTGGACCTTCTAACGCCTGACGGGGCAGCTTGTGGTGGCGGTATCACGCTGATGAGATGATATAAACATGTGACTGTGGACCCTCTAACGCCTGACGAGGCAGCTTGTGGTGGCGGTATCACGATGATGAGATGATATAAACATGTGACTGTGGACCTTCTAGCACCTGACGGGGCAGCTTGTGGTTGCGGTATCACGATGATGAGATGATATAAACATGTGACTGTGGACCTTCTAACGCCTGACGAGGCAGCTTGTGGTGGCGGTATCACGATGATGAGATGATATAAACATGTGACTGTGGACCTTCTAACGTCTGACGAGGCAGCTTGTGGTGGCGGTATCACGATGATGAGATGATATAAACATGTGACTGTGGACCTTCTAACGCCTGACGAGGCAGCTTGTGGTGGCGGTATCACGATGATGAGGTGATATAAACATGTGACTGTGGACCCTCTAACGTCTGACGAGGCAGCTTGTGGTGGCGGTATCACGATGATGAGATGATATAAACATGTGACTGTGGACCCTCTAACGCCTGACGGGGCAGCTTGTGGTGGCGGTATCATGATGATGTGATGATATAAACATGTGACTGTGGACCTTCTAGCGCCTGACGAGGCAGCTTGTGGTGGCGGTATCACGATGATGAGATGATATAAACATGTGACTGTGGACCTTCTAACGCCTGACGAGGCAGCTTGTGGCTGCGGTATCACGATGATGAGATGATATAAACATGTGACTGTGGACCTTCTAACGCCTGACGAGGCAGCTTGTGGCTGCGGTATCACGATGATGAGATGATATAAACATGTGACTGTGGACCCTCTAACGCCTGACGAGGCAGCTTGTGGTGGCGGTATCACGATGATGAGATGATATAAACATGTGACTGTGGACCCTCTAACGCCTGACGAGGCAGCTTGTGGTGGCGGTATCACGATGATGAGATGATATAAACATGTGACTGTGGACCTTCTAACGCCTGACGGGGCAGCTTGTGGTTGCGGTATCACGATGATGAGATGATATAAACATGTGACTGTGGACCTTCTCACGCCTGACGAGGCAGCTTGTGGTGGCGGTATCACGATGATGAGATGATATAAACATGTGACTGTGGACCTTCTAGCGCCTGACGGGGCAGCTTGTGGTTGCGGTATCACGATGATGAGATGATATAAACATGTGACTGTGGACCTTCTAACGCCTGACGGGGCAGCTTGTGGTGGCGGTATCACGATGATGAGATGATATAAACATGTGACTGTGGACCCTCTAACGCCTGACGAGGCAGCTTGTGGTGGCGGTATCACGATGATGAGATGATATAAACATGTGACTGTGGACCTTCTAACGCCTGACGGGGCAGCTTGTGGTGGCGGTATCACGATGATGTGATGATATAAACATGTGACTGTGGACCCTCTAACGCCTGACGGGGCAGCTTGTGGTTGCGGTATCACGATGATGAGATGATATAAACATGTGACTGTGGACCTTCTAGCGCCTGACGGGGCAGCTTGTGGCTGCGGTATCACGATGATGAGATGATATAAACATGTGACTGTGGACCTTCTAACGCCTGACGAGGCAGCTTGTGGTGGCGGTATCACGATGATGAGATGATATAAACATGTGACTGTGGACCCTCTAACGCCTGACGAGGCAGCTTGTGGTGGCGGTATCACGATGATGAGATGATATAAACATGTGACTGTGGACCTTCTAACGCCTGACGAGGCAGCTTGTGGTGGCGGTATCACGATGATGAGATGATATAAACATGTGACTGTGGACCCTCTAACGCCTGACGGGGCAGCCTGTGGTGGCGGTATCACGATGATGAGATGATATAAACATGTGACTGTGGACCTTCTAGCGCCTGACGAGGCAGCTTGTGGTGGCGGTATCACGATGATGAGATGATATAAACATGTGACTGTGGACCCTCTAACGTCTGACGAGGCAGCTTGTGGTGGCGGTATCACGATGATGAGATGATATAAACATGTGACTGTGGACCCTCTAACGCCTGACGGGGCAGCCTGTGGTGGCGGTATCACGTTGATGAGATGATATAAACATGTGACTGTGGACCTTCTAGCGCCTGACGAGGCAGCTTGTGGTGGCGGTATCACGATGATGAGATGATATAAACATGTGACTGTGGACCTTCTAACGCCTGACGAGGCAGCTTGTGGTGGCGGTATCACGATGATGAGATGATATAAACATGTGACTGTGGACCTTCTAACGCCTGACGAGGCAGCTTGTGGTGGCGGTATCACGATGATGAGATGATATAAACATGTGACTGTGGACCCTCTAACGCCTGACGAGGCAGCTTGTGGTGGCGGTATCACGATGATGAGATGATATAAACATGTGACTGTGGACCCTCTAACGCCTGACGGGGCAGCTTGTGGTGGCGGTATCACGATGATGAGATGATATAAACATGTGACTGTGGACCCTCTAACGCCTGACGGGGCAGCTTGTGGTTGCGGTATCACGATGATGAGATGATATAAACATGTGACTGTGGACCTTCTAACGCCTGACGAGGCAGCTTGTGGCTGCGGTATCACGATGATGAGATGATATAAACATGTGACTGTGGACCTTCTAGCGCCTGACGAGGCAGCTTGTGGGGTATGATCCCCAGGGAGCCGAGTATGAACATCGAGCGCACACAGATGCAATGACAGGAGTAATAATGCTAGCGATGTGAACATGCACCGAGTGAATGGAGCCTAACGCAATATAAGTACCCAATTTCTTCTTCTTCTTCTTCTTCTTCTCCTTATTATAATTAAAAGATAGGTTTTTAAAGAAATGTTTCCTGTATGTTATAGAACACACTGTACACAGTTTTTTATCATTTTAAATTTCTCTCGCAACATAATGTACCGTGAGTCCCATTTCGTCACATTTTAATGGGAGATAAAAACTGGATACAAATGACATGAATGAGTTAAACCAAACTCATGCGCGGTAGTCATGATTAAGCGCGGTAGTTATGATGTTAACACATGTCCCGTTTTCGACTTTACCGTTATTTTGGTCGTAATCATGTTAATTGACGTCGAGGTGAGCGTTACGTCGATGTAAAGGTTACGTTGATGTAAGGGTTGCGTCGAGGACAGCGGTATGCCGAGGTAAGCGTTACGTCGACAACTATATCCTTGCATAAGATGGTTTTGGTGGCGGTAGCGGTATGGTATGGGATAACAGCAACGCAGCGGATTCATTTGACTTCGATCGAAGGAAACCTGAACGCGGTTAACGTTATCGTGATGAAATTATTCAGCCCGTATCCCGTACCTTAATCAACGTCCCCGTGGACATTTCAACACGGCAACGTCAGATCATATGTGACACGTATTGTCCAGCGAAAATCTTGTGAAGAACAATGGGAATTATTGCCCTGGCCGGCTTGACCTCCAGGTCCCAGTGGAGCATGTGTGAGTTAAAATAGATCAATGTCTTCCACGTCTGTCGCAGGCGCCAGAAATGTTCGGGAACTTTGGGACTCCTAAGTTCTGATCTGGAATGACATACCACAGGTTTCCTTCCAAAGCATGCTTAGATTGCATTCAAACTCACGGGGCACTCTCCGAGACATTTTCACTTTCAACTGTCACCATACCCACATACCACACAGCATGAGATTTTTTTTATATTTCTTCAGTCGGTCCCGAATGTAGTACATGCGTCATGTAGTTTTCATGCGTCAGATACAGTCATTGTCTTGTATTGAGTCAAAAAGCACGCCACAACTTTCGTTGTTGAGTATATTTCTTATCAACTAAACTGCCTGGCAATAGAAAGTATACACCTATGGTTGGTGGAAGCAATATAGGAAACAGACAAGAACTGGTTATTCGGTGGTGATGTATCTGGTACGGGTATCATAGTAGTGTTTTGGTACTTACTTTGCAGTGGTTCGGCGACTGTTTCAGCCAAGTAACGTTTTCATAGCCTATATAATGTTTTCGTCAAATTTTCAAGTGTATACATTCTTTTGTCCAGCGGTTTATATTTCCCTCAAGATGTTACAATACAAAATGGCCCTGGGCCATGGGTGACTCAGTCGTCTGTGGCGCCACAGTTCGCTGTGCAGAGTTACGTACCTTGGCAATGTCAGAAACCTATGATCGTGGGTTCGAATCCCGGTTCCCCCCAATTATGTGTTTAGGTTTGTCAATACCAAAATACCCGTGCTCGTGGGTTTCACCAAAGTGGTCAAACCTCAGACCTGTATCACTTCGGGCTTTCCTCTTACATTAAGTAGACACGTCGTGAAACTGGAAAACTGTTCATATCGTTAAACCAGCTAACTCACTCCTTAATTCATGAATAAACTGGGAATTCGCCTTATTGGATTGACATCCCAACACTGACGTGATGCAATATGCAAACGAAACCAATATTCTTTGTGTTTTTGTATTTTAGATTGCTCTGGCCATAACCACATCATTCATCCTGCTGTGGTCACCCTACACCCTCGTGTCCTTGTGGTCAGTGTACAGCAACAACCTGCCCGTCTGGGTCATGACTCTGCCCACCATGTTCGCAAAAGCCTCCTGCATGATCAACCCACTTCTCTACTACTTCACCAACCCCAGCTTCAGACGCAACATCACCATCCTCTTTGCAAGGGGCAACCTTGGACCAAACATTGGGAGGAGGTAACACACGGAATGAATGGCATTATAAACTGAAGATAAATAGTTATGGATCATGAATATTTTGGGAGATATTTTTGTCGTGAAGACGGAGTGCCTTTAAATGTGACGGTATTTAACAATATGTCATGATCCCTAACTCTTATGTTGAGTAATTCGACGTGAAAATGTTAAATATCGCTAATATTATAATAATCATGTTTGGGAATCGTATCTTTTTTAAATTTTTATTGCCAAACGTTGTTCTTGTTAAGTAAATACTTATAATGAAATACTGACACTGAAATCGATTATCGATGACATGTTTTGAAACTCATGCTTCTTTATATCTATGAAATACTACTCAAAAGAAGTTAAGAAACGCCCGATTCTTTCATATTGCTATAGTTAATCTGTCATGCCATAACATGTTAACTTTAGTTATAGGAAATAATCGGGTGTTTCTTAACTTGTTTTGAGAAGCATATTTAGCATATTATTCTTCGTTCTTGTTACAACTGCCTAGGGATATCGGGGAAATCTTGGACAAATGTCAGTGAGATTAATGTCAAATGTAGATATGCTATTGGCGTTGAAGATATATGTAACTTTAATAAAGAAGGGGATGCTGTTGGCGTTGGAGATATATGTAACTTTAATAAAGAAGGTGATGCTATTGGCGTTGGAGATATATGTAATTTTAATAAAGAAGGTAATGCTATTGGCGTTGGAGATATATGTAACTTTAATAAAGAAGGTGATGCTATTGACGTGGGAGATATATGTAGCTCTAATAAAGAAGTGGATGCTATTGGCGTGGGAGATATATGTAGCTCTAATAAAGAAGGTTATGCTATTGGCGTGGGAGATATATGTAATTTTAATAAAGAAGGGGATGCTATTGGCGTGGGAGATATATGTAACTTTAATAAAGAAGGGATGCTATTGGCGTTGGAGATATATGTAACTTTAATAATGAAGGTGATGCTATTGGCGTGGGAGATATATGTAGCTCTAATAAAGAAGGTGATGCTATTGGCGTTGGAGATATATGTAACTTTAATAAAGAAGGGGATGCTATTGGCGTTGGAGATATATGTAACTTTGATAAAGAAGGGGATGCTATTGGCGTTGAAGATATATGTAACTTTAATAAAGAAGGGGATGCTATTGGCGTGGGGGATATATGTAACTTTAATAAAGAAGGTGAGCTATTGGCGTTGAAGATATATGTAACTTTAATAAAGAAGGGGATGCTATTGGCGTTGGAGATATATGTAACTTTAATAAGAAGGTGATGCTATTGGTGTTGGAGATATATGTAACTTTAATAAAGAAGGGGATGCTATTGGCGTTGGAGATATATGTAACTTTAATAAAGAAGGGGTTACTATTGGCGTTGAAGATGTATGTAACTTTAATAAAGAAGGGGATGCTATTGGTGTTGGAGATATATGTAACTTTAATAAAGAAGGGGGATGCTATTGGTGTTGGAGATATATGTAACTTTAATAAAGAAGGGGGATGCTATTGGTGTTGGAGATATATGTAACTTTAATAAAGAAGGGGATGCTATTGGCGTTGGAGATATATGTAACTTTAATAAAGAAGGGGTGCTTAATGTTTACACAGGTTTATAAAACAAACTAGATGAAAAATATGAACAATGGCTCAAATATGAAAATAATATTTTTATGATCAGTTTAGATGAAGGTAGTGAAGGTGTAACTATATAAGCTGGCTATCCCAGGTCTACATTTGTCCTTAGGGTCACATGACAGTGTGTTTGTTTTTGTTTAACGCCGCACTCAGCAATACTCCAGCTATATGAATGCGATCTGTAAATAATCTAATCTGAACCAGACAATCCAGTGATTGACATCTCGAGCATCGATCTACGTAATTGGGGTACGATGACTAGCATCAACCTAGTCAGGGAGCCTGTCCACCCGATACCGTATTTGCCTCTTGCGACGAGCACGGGTTGCTGAAGACCCAGTTACACCCGGATTGACACGGGATACAGAATACGTCAGGGGTTAACGTTATTTAAACACTGATTAGCTACGGAGGGAACATTTAATACTCTGTAGTGGATTTTCTGCAACAAATTCAAAGAATGTCAAATGTTAGGTCAATGATATTTTGACATAGTGTTTCAAACATGTTTGTATTTTTCCTGGTTTATTCCAGGTCTCTGTTTGTGTATTGGGTGGACACAATCAAGGATGACATCTACATAATCCCATGTTCAGACTATTTTCATTATTCCAGGCCTCTGTTTGTGTATTGGGTGGACACAACCATTCAGACTGTGTTCTTTATTCCAGGCCTCTGTACATGTATCGAGTGGACACAACCATTCAGACTGTGTTCTTTATTCCAGGCCTCTGTACATGTATCGAGTGGACACAACCATTCAGACTGTGTTCTTTATTCCAGGCCTCTGTACATGTATCGAGTGGACACAACCATTCAGACTGTGTTCTTTATTCCAGGCCTCTGTACATGTATCGAGTGGACACAACCATTCAGACTGTGTTCTTTATTCCAGGCCTCTGTACATGTATCGAGTGGACACAACCATTCAGACTGTGTTCTTTATTCCAGGCCTCTGTACATGTATCGAGTGGACACAACCATTCAGACTGTGTTCTTTATTCCAGGCCTCTGTACATGTATCGAGTGGACACAACCAAGGATGACATCTACATTGGGCGACAGATGCTGAACAGGAGATATGAATCTATCATGTTCTGAACATTTGAAACACATTCCATGGAGATGTACAGTACTATTCAAATCATACGTTCCCACTATTACAAGGCTGGTAGTACACTACTATTCAAAACAAACCTTCCTTCGGCAACATTCTTTTATTTCCCGAGTTTGTATCTTACACGAGTTTAGTAAAATCAGTGTGATACACATGCGAGTGTTAGGATTTCTTTATTACCCAATATAAGATAGCTACGCGATAAATCGCAAAGAACAATGAAGAACGAAGCGCGGTTTATTTCATGATAAAACATGGATATTCGAATATGCCCTCGCTTCTTGATGACATCATAAATTGGACGACGCAATTTTTGATAGGGAAATGTCTGGTAAGCTGTTCCCCATAAATGCAGCTTGGGAATGTAGGTAAACGCAGTGGCCGAACGATCGCATCCAAAAGAAGGCGAGATAATGTGGGAAATAGCAAAGTAACCCTCTCTCCATCCCTCGGAATTAATATGGACTTGTCCGACATTGCCGAGGTCGGATTGTATTCCGGGAGTTATCCTTATTTAAATACGGGTAAATAGTTTTGGAACTTGTACGTTTTATCAACATCCTTACAGAGGCTGTACTGAATGTTGAGCTCATATAACAAATTAACGACTCGTGGTCGTTGTTTATCATACAACAAAACACTGCAGGGAGAATACACCACTCGGGACTGCGACCTTTCGTCACGCAAATATTCAAATGACGTCACCAATGACGTCCGGATTACGTAAACAATATACTGCTGCGCGTGTAGTGATATTTGCACTAATGCACATGCGATAATATGAACTCGGTCATTTTAAACCCTATGGGTAATACATGGAGGATATTTCATGTTTCGAGTGAACTATCATGTTTCCCTCATCCAGTGACGGGGTATGGGGTTGGGGTTGGGGGTTGGGGGTTGGGGGGAGTCATATGAAAGCGTGAGACTTAAATGTTGAGTTGGGAAGGTCAGCTCTCCACTCTGACTGGGTGACATACATGATAGACCATATATAATTCAGTTTATATTACGTCAGCATCGGTAAAATTACGTTAACTTTTAGCTTTAACTAATGGTTATACAAATGTTATAGAACTACGAAACAAGCTCTGTATTGAGTCAGTGTATTTTACTTTGCATGATCCTCCATAGTTACATCTATTTTTACCTATATCCACACAAAGTACAGCAGGTGTATTCGGCGATAGTGAGTTTGAATGCATGGATTTTTTCAAAGGCCTGATTGAGTTGTAAATATGTTAATTTAAGGAAAAAATTATTGAACAGAAATACTATGTACATCCAAATAAATACAAGTTTATCTCTTTAATTTCACATGTGAGCAAAACGGCTATACAAAATCTCTCTCTCTTTATATATCATGCCATGTTATTAAGAAACGAATACTTGTAACATTCCTAACCGCTTCCACATTGTCATCTATTCTGTACTATGGGCCTGTGGCCTTACAGTTATATATGAATAAACTGATTGAATTGATTTCAGTAGATCAGACAGCAGGCAATTCTGTTACATCAGAGGTAAGAGTGTTCCCTAGCCAAAGTCTAGTTTTCACCCTTGTGAGCGTTCAGTCGTTCGAATTAAAATTCAATAAAGTTTGCACTCAAATATATATAAGGCACTAAGTACATGGGAGAGTTGACTGAAAACATGATTTGTCTTCACTCAATAAGTTTATTTTTTAATAATTTCAGCATAAATTCGACACGCGGTACCCGGATGTTGATTTTGTCAAATGTTCTTTGATTGGACTATTGATATGTGTGACAGTCCAATCCGGAGCGTGTCTGTTTCAGCACATATAAGAGGGCTTCAGCTGGCAAGAATGAGACCAAGACTTTTTATATAGGCTAGTGGACACTCTGCTCTCCGGAAGATGACCCAGACCTAGAACAGTACTTTTTATGTGTGCATGTAACTAATGGTACGCATCATGTATTGTTGCAGTGAATAAACCTATATACACATTCTTGCCTGCGTTTGTACAACAAACATATGAATGAATGAACGAATGAATGAATGAATGAATGAATGAATGAATGAGATAGTGATATTGCTAGGTATTCGCGAAAAGCGTAACCTGGCACGTCAGTAGCATCCGTGTCACAAACACATGCACAGGCAAGTCAGCACGGGAACAAGCCAAAGACAAAAACACTATCACAATGCTCTAGTCTAGCGCTAGTCATATATTTAATACAATGGTCATTCGAAATACCGTTCACTTCGAAGATAAGCCAAACGCCTGATCAATCACTCAGAATACTGACACGTACCATGCGTTGGTCAGTAGGAGATGACTTATCGCACGAGGAATACAATCCCACGCACTTGAAGAACTGGGATCATTGTTATTGCATGTTATCAGTCACTTGACACAATGATAGCCAATTACATGTACGCCAATATATAGGGATTCTGACTGAACCATCAAGCTATACTGGGTTAATTGTTTGCTGGGAAATACAGTAACGGACATTTTCACGTTCTCACGATGCTGTAATCCCGGCCTTTCACGAATAGTGAAAATGTAGAAAGTCTTCGGGTTAGTTTACACAACGTTCTTCCATCGTATAAAATTCAGGGCAAAATTGGAAAATATTTTGTACGAAGAAAGATCATATTTATCTTGTAAACATTTTTGTTTAAAGTAAGTTATCAACGATGAAGAACATTAAATTAAATTAAAACATTTTGTGTTGATCTGTCCTTTGTATGAGAATTTGCGGAGTCAGTGTTTTAGCGTTGTGAACGGACTATTTAATAATACAATATCATGAACATTTGTGACAACCAACATGCACAGACACTAGGTGCATACAAACAATGTATGGTTTCAGTGTGGGAAAACAAAGGATTAAAAACACAATGATATGAAAGTATACTATTTGTTGATATTTTGTATTGATAGTAATGCATTGAATGTATAAAGGCGGATCTTTCATCAATATATTGTTTGTAAATTGTTTGTGAATTATGGGCCGGATGGTCTACATTTCCGAATCAATAACACATACATACAAGCTGCCGGTCAAGAGAAAGTATCCACTTGGAAGCTGGAATTGAACAATGCAACCCAAACGTGCACGTGACTAGGCTGCAGACAGTCGCCGTGACAGGACGCATGTAACAACACCTACGCTATCCGTGTCACCATCGCCATCGAATAACCATTTCTTGTTTGTTTCGTCACCAACAAACATGAGTGTATACTTTATTTTGCTTCGTTAAAAATAATAGAGAATATTTTCATTACAATTTAGTTTAATCTCATGACTATCGTTGAATGGCATCATCATTTTGCATTAAAAAATTTCCCCTGTAGTGGTGGTATAGGTATATAAATCTGGCTCGAGTGGAGTTGCGGCAGAATCACCATTACCTATAAAAAATTATATCATAGAATAAGCATTGATTGACTCCAGGTGGTGGTGAGCTAGAGTCAATTTAGTTTAATCTCATGACTATCGTTGAATCGCATAGTCATTTACACATAAAAAATGCCACCTGTAGTAGCAGTATAGGTATATAAATCTGGCTCCAGTGGAAGTGGTCCAGAACCCCCATTACCTATACTACTACTGTTGTCATGGTGATGGAGGAACGTAGTGCATTAACACTTGTGTATTGACGATACCAGAATGTGCGATATTGGGAAAATTGGAGATCGCGAACATCGGAACATGTTCCTTACAGTATTCCATAGTTACTGTAGAGTGATCCACTGCTGAGATGTCTGTTGATACAGAGTAACTGTACAGTGATCCACTGCTGAGATGTCTGTTGATACAGAGTAACTGTACAGTGATCCACTGCTGAGATGTCTGTCGATACAGAGTAACTGTAGAGTGATCCACTGCCGAGATGTCTGTCGATACAGAGTAACTGTAGAGTGGTCCACTGCTGAGATGTCTGTCGATACAGAGTAACTGTAGAGTGATCCACTGCCGAGATGTCTGTCGATACAGAGTAACTGTAGAGTGATCCACTGCTGAGGATATATATGTGTATGTGTGTGTTTGTGTGTGCTTGTGTGTGCTTGTGTTTCGGTTTTAAACCGGTATCCCAATGAGATATAATACCCCACTCAGACACAGCACACTCCTTGTTTTACCCCCGTAATGACGAGTGCCAGGCAGTGTAACATCAAGTACAATCGTTTAACGTGTTTTGTTAAAAGGATAACAAATGTACAGTTACATCCCAAAAGACGTTAACTGTCCCCAGGAAGAAAACCAACAGATAGCTACCAAACTATGGAATATATAGACTTTGAAAGGCATTTAGAAGTGATACACATAACGAAAAGAATTTGTGGATGTCAACTTCTTTATTATGAGGAACACCATCATCAGGTGATGAAGGAGTAAGCACATACTCCGGACCCGTGAAGATCCAGGGTAGAATAGGTCTTCAGCAACCTATGCTTGCCGTAAAAGGCGACTATGCTTGTCGTAAGAGGCGACTAACGGGATCGGGTGATCAGGCTCGCTCACTTGGTTGATGCATGTCATCGATCCCAAATGCGTGGACCGATGCTCATGATGTCAATCACTGGATTGTCTTGTCCAGACTCGATTATTCACAGACTAACGTGATATAGCTGGACTATTGCTGAGTGCTAACAACAACCAACAACATACATGTATACTCCGAACGTTGTGTTCCTCATTTTAAAGAAGTTGACATCCATAACTTCTATTCCTTATATGGAACATATACATACATAAAAAGAAATAGCCCTACAAATTACAAAAAGGACACAATTTCCATTACGTTTGAATCGCAATAAGAAGAACCCGCCACATGTTCAAAGGACCTAACGCAGTACATCCCGCAGCCCGCTCCAAATGGTCATACTCTCTGCTTGGTACCTCGCAACTGTGACCGCTCCGTGGTCTCGTGGTAGAGCGCCCGCCCGGAGAGCGGAAGGTTCGGGGTTCGATCCCCGGCCGCGTCATACCAAAAGACGTTAATAGATGGTACTTGTTGTTACCCTGTCTGGCGCTCGGCATTAAGGGACTAAAACAAGGACTGGTCGGCTCGGAGTCAGTATACTTTGTCTGAGTGGGGTATTCATGTTACACTGCGGCATGGTACCTCAGTGAGCTAGCACTATAAGTCGGTATCGGTCCGGACTAGTACAATCAGCCACACAAACACACACACGTACATGTACGTCGCTATATAAGTGCAATAATCTTGGACGCATTTCACCTCATCTCACCTCCTCGCAACTGTTGTCTACAACTATACACACGCTCGGCGTGGGAAGGGATGGATCAGACTGTCACGTGTGGCGGCAGGTGCACGATCTGTCCATCAGCATGAAGACAGACCAGTCGCCAGGCCACACAGTTCTATTTTCACATAAAATTTGATAAATGTCAACACCATTAAGGGACTGGTCATTTATTATATGGCATGGACGTGATCAGGAAAAGAATGTCACATAAAAAGATATCAGATATCAACTTTGTTATCTGCGGCAATGCATATCGCCCATGCCTGAAAATAATTGTATATTTAATTCTGTACAATTGTTTATTTATTTATCTCGTGCAAAGAGGTTCAGTTTGTAATGACTTCCATATAGGTCTAATCATAAATATTCTTTTCTGATTGTCTATCTCTCCTTTTTGCCTCCATAGTAAAAGAGGTGAGGTGAGGTGAAATGGGGATTAACTTCGCGTTCAAGATTATTGCACTTATAAAGCGACGTGCATGCACGTGCGCGTGTGTGTGTGTGTGTGGTTGTTTGTATTAGTCCTGACTAAAGCCGATTTTATACTGATAGCCCACTGAGATACCATGCCGCAGTTTAACAGGAATACCCCACTCAGACACAG